GCTGAAATGATTAAACCTTAGGCAGAGGCCTGACAGCGCTTCGGATTCGGAGTCCTGAGGTTCCGAGCTCGATCCCCGGTGGCGGCGGAAACAAATGGGCAGTTTCTTTCACCCTGATCCCCTGTGCCCTGGTAGTAAATAGGTACCTGTTAGTTAGACAGCTGCGACGGGCTGCTTCCTGGGAGTGTGTAACAAAAAGGAGGCCTGGTCGAGGACCGGGCCGCGGGGACGCTAAGCCCCGAAATCATCTCAAGATAACTCAAGATAGACAGTTCATTCATATTTGAGCCCAACCACTTGGGCTGGACAGTCTCGCTTCATGCAGGTCGGCGTTCAATCCCCGACTGTTCATAAGCATTTGGGCACCATTATTTCGAGCCCCCGTCCCATCCCAGATCCTCATCCTGACGTTGTTGTTGTTACAGATTCAGCTACTCGTAACAAGTTCCAAGTAGCACGGGCTATGGTGAGCCCGTAGTGGACTTACCTGGCTCAGGAGCGGTGCAGAATGTGCTGTCATCCTGATCCCTTCCAAGTGTTTTATAGTCGTAATGGTTTGGCGCTTTATCCTGATAGCTCCCCTTCATTCATATTTTAGCGTGCGTGCGACAACTCAAGTTCTCACGGGATATTCATGCCCGTGCAACAGTTTGTGGTGGCTTAATCTTCATCAATGAATCAATAAACTCAAGTTCGCCAGTGACTGACAGACGTTCGCTAAGGAGCCAATAGCCACAACACCGAGGAACCGGCAAGCATTAAGATTAAACCGTCGACACCTTTCTTGCTTCTTGCGAGAACAAATGAGTTGTACATTTTCTTATCATCTCTGGTCTTTGTCTGAGATAGTGAGTGGAATCCGTAGAAGCTGATTGGCGCATAAATGCCCCAAGTGGCCAATTAGCCGAGACTCGGGGATGGTAATGAGACAGTCATGCTACAACAACCTATAAGATCACAAACAACCTCTGTCAACTGAAAACAATATATATATATATATATATATATATATATATATATATATATATATATATATATATATATATATATGTCGTACCTAGTAGCCAGAATGCACCTCTCAGCCTACTATGCAAGGCCCGATTTGCCTAATAAGCCAAGTTTTCCTGAATTAATATATTTTCTCTAATTTTTTTCTTATGAAATGATAAAGCTACCCATTTCATTATGTATGAGGTCAATTTTCTTTTATTGGGGTTAAAATTAACATAGATATATGACCGAACCTAACCAACCCTACCTAACCTAACCTAACCTATCTTTATAGGTTAGGTTAGGTTAGGTAGCCCAAAAAGTTAGGTTAGGTTAGGTTAGGTAGTCCAAAAACAATTAATTCATGAAAACATGGCTTATTAAGCAAATTTGGCCTTGCAAAGTAGGCTGAGAAGTGCGTTCTGGCTACTAGGTACGACATATATATATATATATATATATATATATATATATATATATATATATATATATATATATATATATATATATATATATATATATATATATATATATATATATATATATATATATATATATTGTGACGGTAACGCGTTGGTGTTCGGCTGTTCAAAGCTAGGGGTATGGCCTCGTCACATAGAATAAAAAAAAAATAGAAAATCTGGAACTTCGTCTGTGGTAAGGTAAGGAGAAGACACACAAAACACAAGTAAATTTTATCAATGGAATTTTAATTACGTTAGATAAACAAAGCATGAATAAAATGGACATACAAATTCGTATAATAAAATCAATCAATCAAAATAATAAGAAGAATTAAATGACAAAATGAAAAGTTACGTTAAGACAAGTGAGCAATAACAAGCTGTGCAATATACAATAAAATGAGAGGTGCAGGAATATTGGCTTTAAGCTATCACCTCTCTTAGTACACATAAGCCAAAGCTCAGTCTACCAGGGAGAAGTGTTAACCGTATGAAAGCACTGAATATTCTGAGGACTGAGGTCGTGGCGGCCCCAGATATCAAGTAGTATAGTGGGTGGAGTGCAGTTGCAGCCAGACCGGCGGCCAATCAGCGAGGAGCCGGCAACAAGACAGGTAGTTTGGCGGTTTGAGGTGAGGCAGGTGTTCCTGGCTGCATACGTTTTGCTCTCTGGCAAACCTTGGAGATGTTGTTGTCGTTGTTGGACATTTCTTCCATAGTAGTTTTATATAGATGTATCGACGTATTTTTGGAGGGAAGAGCAGGCTCAATCTCTTGAAGGAGATTATCGTCACAATATATATATATATATATATATATATATATATATATATATATATATATATATATATATATATATATATATATATATATATATATATATATATATATATATATATAACTGAAAACTCACACCCCAGAAGTGACTCGAACCCATACTCCCAGAAGCAACGCAACTGGTATGTACAAGACGCCTTAATCCACTTGACCATCACGACCGGACAAAATGAGGTGATAGCCGAGGCTATATGAACCACCCCACCGCCGGCACTCGGATAGTTATCTTGGGCATAGCATTTTACCAAATCACCTCATTCTTTGGGGCACACGTGAGGAACACAAATGCGAACAAGCCTGAATGGTCCCCAGGACATATGCAACTGAAAACTCACACCCCAGAAGTGACTCGAACCCATACTCCCAGAAGCAACGCAACTGGTATGTACAAGACGCCTTAATCCACTTGACCATCACGACCGGACAAAATGAGGTGATAGCCGAGGCTATATGAACCACCCCACCGCCGGCACTCGGATAGTTATCTTGGGCATAGCATTTTACCAAATCACCTCATTCTTTGGGGCACACGTGAGGAACACAAATGCGAACAAGCCTGAATGGTCCCCAGGACATATGCAACTGAAAACTCACACCCCAGAAGTGACTCGAACCCATACTCCCAGAAGCAACGCAACTGGTATGTACAAGACGCCTTAATCCACTTGACCATCACGACCGGACAAAATGAGGTGATAGCCGAGGCTATATGAACCACCCCACCGCCGGCACTCGGATAGTTATCTTGGGCATAGCATTTTACCAAATCACCTCATTCTTTGGGGCACACGTGAGGAACACAAATGCGAACAAGCCTGAATGGTCCCCAGGACATATGCAACTGAAAACTCACACCCCAGAAGTGACTCGAACCCATACTCCCAGAAGCAACGCAACTGGTATGTACAAGACGCCTTAATCCACTTGACCTCATTTATCCGGTCGTGATGGTCAAGTGGATTAAGGCGTCTTGTACATACCAGTTGCGTTGCTTCTGGGAGTATGGGTTCGAGTCACTTCTGGGGTGTGAGTTTTCAGTTGCATATGTCCTGGGGACCATTCAGGCTTGTTCGCATTTGTGTTCCTCACGTGTGCCCCAAAGAATGAGGTGATTTGGTAAAATGCTATGCCCAAGATAACTATCCGAGTGCCGGCGGTGGGGTGGTTCATATAGCCTCGGCTATCACCTCATTTTGTCCGGTCGTGATGGTCAAGTGGATTAAGGCGTCTTGTACATACCAGTTGCGTTGCTTCTGGGAGTATGGGTTCGAGTCACTTCTGGGGTGTGAGTTTTCAGTTGCATATGTCCTGGGGACCATTCAGGCTTGTTCGCATTTGTGTTCCTCACGTGTGCCCCAAAGAATGAGGTGATTTGGTAAAATGCTATGCCCAAGATAACTATCCGAGTGCCGGCGGTGGGGTGGTTCATATAGCCTCGGCTATCACCTCATTTTGTCCGGTCGTGATGGTCAAGTGGATTAAGGCGTCTTGTACATACCAGTTGCGTTGCTTCTGGGAGTATGGGTTCGAGTCACTTCTGGGGTGTGAGTTTTCAGTTGCATATGTCCTGGGGACCATTCAGGCTTGTTCGCATTTGTGTTCCTCACGTGTGCCCCAAAGAATGAGGTGATTTGGTAAAATGCTATGCCCAAGATAACTATCCGAGTGCCGGCGGTGGGGTGGTTCATATAGCCTCGGCTATCACCTCATTTTGTCCGGTCGTGATGGTCAAGTGGATTAAGGCGTCTTGTACATACCAGTTGCGTTGCTTCTGGGAGTATGGGTTCGAGTCACTTCTGGGGTGTGAGTTTTCAGTTGCATATGTCCTGGGGACCATTCAGGCTTGTTCGCATATATATATATATATATATATATATATATATATATATATATATATATATATATATATATATATATATATATATATATATATATATATATATATATATATATATATATATATATATATATATATATATATATATATATATATAATATCGTCACGCAATTATATTTGTATATTGTTAGGATTTAAAACGTTAGATGATTATTAACAGCGCTCACTACGCGCATAATTGAACCAGTCATGTCTGCTCTGCAGGAGTTCAGGGACGCTGTTAAAGGGGAAACTATATTTGCTGGCGTAATTTTTTGTTTTTATGGCATGTTGTTTATACCGAAATCACGGATCATTTGGCCGGTAATTGCTGTTTTCCGTAACGTTTCATTTTTCCGTTTTATAGTGGCGACACGTGACCTGCGGCTTGACCGGGAAGTCTGCCGGGAAGTGGTGTTTGTTTTTGTCAAGTATTGCGTTCGTGGAAGAGTGGATGAATGAGGGGAAAGCGCTAAGCCATTACGACTATATAGCTCTTGGAAGGTGTCAGAATAAGGATTAGGGATGAGACGGGGGGGGGGGGGAGGAATGGTGTCCAACCACTTGGACGGTCGGGGATTGAACGCCTACTTGCATGAAGCGAGACCGTCGCTCTACCGTCCAGCCAAAATGGTTGGGTGTGTTCGTGGAAGAGTGATTCCGTGTTATGTATCTACGTCTTGTTGATGAGAATTGTTTGTTAAACTCGAGGTAATTACTATAAATAACGCTGTGCGTATTAGTGGCTTTAGGTATAGTATGTATGTACAAGTTCTGTCTACAAATGCTGTTTGTAAGTCATTTTGTATGCATGTACTTTAACCTGAATAAAAATGATTGATCGTGACTTCCTTGGTCATGAAGTAAGGATGGCAGCGACGGACTTCATCGCTCAGGAAATGAAGATAGCAGCGAGGTACTTAAACGGTCATAAGGTGTGGATGTCAAGGTGGAAGATCATCACTAGTTAATTGTGGATAGCAGCGAGGCACTTGTTGACCCGAGAAGTGTGGATGGCAGCGTGGCACTTGATGACTCGGGAAGTGTGGATGGCAGCGTGGCACTTGATGACTCGGGAAGTGTGGATGGCAGCGTGGCACTTGATGACTCGGGGAGTGTGGATGGCAGCGTGGCACTTGATGACTCGGGAAGTGTGGATGGCAGCGTCGCACTTGATGATTCGGGAAGTGTGGATGGCAGCGTCGCACTTGATGACTCGGGAAGTGTGGATGGCAGCGTGGCATTTGATGACTCGGGAAGTGTGGATGGCAGCGAGGCACTTGATGACTCGGGAAGTGTGGATGGCAGCGTGGCACTTGATGACTCGGGAAGTGTGGATGGCAGCGAGGCACTTGATGACTCGGGTAGTGTGGATGGCAGCGTGGCACTTGATGACTAGGGAAGTGTGGATGGCAGCGAGGCACTTGATGACTCGGGAAGTGTGGATGGCAGCGTGGCACTTGATGACTCAGGAAGTGGAAGTGTGATGACTCACATTGACAGTGGCTTGACGAAAAATGCAGACTGACCCCTCACTCATCTGGTGCCTTCAGGAGGTGGAGATGTTTGAGATATATATCTCGAACTATCTACTTCTTTTGTAAGGTCTGATGGCGTAGTGGGTTAAAGCATACTAGTTATGCCAGCTACTGGAAGGTAGTTGTGCTTTCTGGGTTCGAGTCCCACTGGTGGGTGTTGTTCCAAAGATTATTAATCTTCACTTGTGGTTTATGCAAGTATAGGCTTATAAGCTGGACACGAGTTCTCTCACATTGACAGTGGCTTGACGAAAAATGCAGACTGACCCCTCACTCATCTGGTGCCTTCGGGAGGTGGAGATGTTTGAGATATATATCTCGAACTATCTACTTCTTTTGTAAGGTCTGATGGCGTAGTGGGTTAAAGCATACTAGTTATGCCAGCTACTGGAAGGTAGTTGTGCTTTCTGGGTTCGAGTCCCACTGGTGGGTGTTGTTCCAAAGATTATTAATCTTCACTTGTGGTTTATGCAAGTATAGGCTTATAAGCTGGACACGAGTTCTCTCACATTGACAGTGGCTTGACGAAAAATGCAGACTGACCCCTCACTCATCTGGTGCCTTCGGGAGGTGGAGATGTTTGAGATATATATCTCGAACTATCTACTTCTTTTGTAAGGTCTGATGGCGTAGTGGGTTAAAGCATAGTAGTTATGCCAGCTACTGGAAGGTAGTTGCGCTTTCTGGGTTCGAGTCCCACTGGTGGGTGTTGTTCCAAAGATTATTAATCTTCACTTGTGGTTTATGCAAGTATAGGCTTATAAGCTGGACACGAGTTCTCTCACATTGACAGTGGCTTGACGAAAAATGCAGACTGACCCCTCACTCATCTGGTGCCTTCGGGAGGTGGAGATGTTTGAGATATATATCTCGAACTATCTACTTCTTTTGTAAGGTCTGATGGCGTAGTGGGTTAAAGCATACTAGTTATGCCAGCTACTGGAAGGTAGTTGTGCTTTCTGGGTTCGAGTCCCACTGGTGGGTGTTGTTCCAAAGATTATTAATCTTCACTTGTGGTTTATGCAAGTATAGGCTTATAAGCTGGACACGAGTTCTCTCACATTGACAGTGGCTTGACGAAAAATGCAGACTGACCCCTCACTCATCTGGTGCCTTCGGGAGGTGGAGATGTTTGAGATATATATCTTGAACTATCTACTTCTTTTGTAAGGTCTGATGGCGTAGTGGGTTAAAGCATACTAGTTATGCCAGCTACTGGAAGGTAGTTGTGCTTTCTGGGTTCGAGTCCCACTGGTGGGTGTTGTTCCAAAGATTATTAATCTTCACTTGTGGTTTATGCAAGTATAGGCTTATAAGCTGGACACGAGTTCTCTCACATTGACAGTGGCTTGACGAAAAATGCAGACTGACCCCTCACTCATCTGGTGCCTTCGGGAGGTGGAGATGTTTGAGATATATATCTCGAACTATCTACTTCTTTTGTAAGGTCTGATGGCGTAGTGGGTTAAAGCATACTAGTTATGCCAGCTACTGGAAGGTAGTTGCGCTTTCTGGGTTCGAGTCCCACTGGTGGGTGTTGTTCCAAAGATTATTAATCTTCACTTGTGGTTTATGCAAGTATAGGCTTATAAGCTGGACACGAGTTCTCTCACATTGACAGTGGCTTGACGAAAAATGCAGACTGACCCCTCACTCATCTGGTGCCTTCGGGAGGTGGAGATGTTTGAGATATATATCTCGAACTATCTACTTCTTTTGTAAGGTCTGATGGCGTAGTGGGTTAAAGCATACTAGTTATGCCAGCTACTGGAAGGTAGTTGTGCTTTCTGGGTTCGAGTCCCACTGGTGGGTGTTGTTCCAAAGATTATTAATCTTCACTTGTGGTTTATGCAAGTATAGGCTTATAAGCTGGACACGAGTTCTCTCACATTGACAGTGGCTTGACGAAAAATGCAGACTGACCCCTCACTCATCTGGTGCCTTCGGGAGGTGGAGATGTTTGAGATATATATCTCGAACTATCTACTTCTTTTGTAAGGTCTGATGGCGTAGTGGGTTAAAGCATACTAGTTATGCCAGCTACTGGAAGGTAGTTGTGCTTTCTGGGTTCGAGTCCCACTGGTGGGTGTTGTTCCAAAGATTATTAATCTTCACTTGTGGTTTATGCAAGTATAGGCTTATAAGCTGGACACGAGTTCTCTCACATTGACAGTGGCTTGACGAAAAATGCAGACTGACCCCTCACTCATCTGGTGCCTTCGGGAGGTGGAGATGTTTGAGATATATATCTCGAACTATCTACTTCTTTTGTAAGGTCTGATGGCGTAGTGGGTTAAAGCATACTAGTTATGCCAGCTACTGGAAGGTAGTTGTGCTTTCTGGGTTCGAGTCCCACTGGTGGGTGTTGTTCCAAAGATTATTAATCTTCACTTGTGGTTTATGCAAGTATAGGCTTATAAGCTGGACACGAGTTCTCTCACATTGACAGTGGCTTGACGAAAAATGCAGACTGACCCCTCACTCATCTGGTGCCTTCGGGAGGTGGAGATGTTTGAGATATATATCTCGAACTATCTACTTCTTTTGTAAGGTCTGATGGCGTAGTGGGTTAAAGCATACTAGTTATGCCAGCTACTGGAAGGTAGTTGTGCTTTCTGGGTTCGAGTCCCACTGGTGGGTGTTGTTCCAAAGATTATTAATCTTCACTTGTGGTTTATGCAAGTATAGGCTTATAAGCTGGACACGAGTTCTCTCACATTGACAGTGGCTTGACGAAAAATGCAGACTGACCCCTCACTCATCTGGTGCCTTCGGGAGGTGGAGATGTTTGAGATATATATCTCGAACTATCTACTTCTTTTGTAAGGTCTGATGGCGTAGTGGGTTAAAGCATACTAGTTATGGCAGCTACTGGAAGGTAGTTGTGCTTTCTGGGTTCGAGTCCCACTGGTGGGTGTTGTTCCAAAGATTATATATATATATATATATATATATATATATATATATATATATATATATATATATATACATATATATATATATATATATATATATATATATATATATATATATATATATATATATATATATATATATATATATATATATATATATATATATATATATATATATATATATATGTCGTACCTAATAGCCAGAACGCACTTCTCAGCCTACTATTCAAGGCCTGATTTGCCTAATAAGCCAAGTTTTCATGAATTAATGTTTTTTCGTCTACCTAACCTACCTAACCTAACCTAACCTAGCTTTTTTTGGCTACCTAACCTAACCTTACCTATAAATATAGGTTAGGTTAGGTTAGGTAGGGTTGGTTAGGTTCGGTCATATATCTACGTTAATTTTAACTCCAATAAAAAAAAATTGACCTCATACATAGAGAAAAGGGTTGGTTTATCATTTCATAAGAAAAAAATTATAGTAAATATATTAATTCAGGAAAACTTGGCTTATTAGGCAAATCGGGCCTTGAATAGTAGGCTGAGAAGTGAGTTCTGGCTACTAGGTACGACATATATATATATATATATATATATATATATATATATATATATATATATATATATATATATATATATATATATATATATATATATATATATGTCGTACCTAGTAGCCAGAACGCACTTCTCAGCCAACTATGCAAGGCCCGATTTGCTTAATAAGCTAAGTTTTCCTGAATTAATATATTTTCTCTAATTTTTTTCTTATGAAATGATAAAGATACCCATTTCATTATATATGAGATCAATTTTTTTTTATTGGAGTTAAAATTAACGTAGATATATGACCAAACCTAACCAACCCCCCCTAACCAAACCTAACCTATCTTTATAGGTTAGGTTAGGTTAGGTAGCAGAAAAAGTTAGGTTAGGTTAGGTTAGCTAGGTTAGGTAGTCGAAAAACAATTAATTCATGAAAACTTGGCTTATTAGGCAAATCGGGCCATGCATAGTAGGCTGAGAAGTGCGTTCTGGCTACTAGGTACGACATATATATATATATATATATATATATATATATATATATATATATATATATATATATATATATATATATATATATATATATATATATATATATATATATATATATATATATATATATATATATATATATATATATATATAAAACAACATACTCACACCTTCACCTGCACAATGGATGCAAGGCACGCCCAGAAATCCCATTACATTTGAATATCAAAAGGAGAAAACCATTCTTACTATTGAGAGCTCCGTTCCCTAAGAACGGAACTACTGGGAGAGATGCGGCCTTGATGGAAGGGTGGAGAGGAAGGTAATGGAAACGAAAGGAAAGTTGACGAGAAAAATGCCTGGAAAAGAGGAGACAGTGCAGGCAAAGGAGAGAGCGAGCGGGATGAGAGGAAAGGAAAAAATGCCGGTAAAGGGAGAGAGGGAGACAAGTAGGAGCAAATGTTGACATGAGTTAAATAAATAAAAGAATAACAACGGCGAATCGACAGAAAAAAAAGTGAAGGGGAGAAATCGAACAGAAAAAGTGTAATAGCAAATGTAACTTAGGTACACACACACCAACGCCGGTACACTGCTTTAGTACAGTCAAGTACACACACCAGCGCCGGTACACTGCTTTAGTACACTCTCCAGCCCCGGTACACTGCCACAGTACTCTCAGGTACACACACCAGCGCCGGTACACTGCCACAGTACTCTCAGCACACACACACACACACACACCAGCGCCAGTACACTAATACAGTACATTCAGGCTACTCTGAATGAAACAAACTAACCAATCAGCTGTCACCAGAAGTTGTTAGAAGAGCCAATATGAGTTCACCAGGTGGGGAGCTGAGCCACAGCTGAAACACAGTCCTTTCACCCAAGTGGCTGAAGAA